CATATTTTCAATACTGAAGATACCTAGATTATTAAACACTAGTCTAGATAGAATCAGTATTTGATTACGTGTGATAAGATAAGGTGTTTTAGAATCAAATTGTATTGTAATATGTTAAGTTTTATTGAAATGTATGACTCTGTAAAAAAGATAATATGTATTGACTCGTGAACTGTAAATGATCAAGTTGCTGATGAAGTCTCCAGTAAAGAACGAAACGTACAACTAGTTCAAAATAAATTGTTTATTAGATTTATTAACCGTCTATAATTCCCTTTGAGACTTATATATTAATTGAATTTAATATTTTTCTGTTTAACACATTTAGTAGAACTTTTAGTTTATCATTGGAAAATTAAGATCTGGATTAAATATTTATAACAGAGAAAGAGAAAGAAAAGGAAGGGCAGAGTGAAAAAGAAATAGCGAGGGGAGGAAGAAAAGAAATAAAAAAAAGAAAAAAGAGAAGTCAAATAATTTAGAATGGTTACGTGTAAAATCGAGATATCGTATACGCAACGAGCGTTCCGTTATTTTTATTATCGTTCAAGAACGATCGTGGCAGGCGTCAAAATATAATACTGGATTTACGAGACAGATATGCTACCGGTGTTGCCTTAACGCGTAATAAAAAAGAGCTTCGCTCAGTAAAGTATCGTAACGAAGTGTGCAAAGGGGTGTATTAACGAGAGTCCATTAAATCGCGCGTTCGCTTACTCCTCCGAGTATATTTTTGCATTAATTGTATATGGGGAAAAAAAAATGAAAAATAAAAAATAAAAAAAAAGAATCAAGTAAAAACGTCTCCTAAATCTTATATGAAAAGATTCGAAGCAAAAAAATAGAAAGTTAGAATGAAATTATTACAAAAGAAAAACTATATATTTTGAGAAATAAAAATAATCCTAATAAATGAAGTTTAAGTACCTAATCGTATATTTTGTTTACGATTATCTTCTTTTTCTTTTAATCCTCCTAATACATATTTAATTGACATATCAATGTATATATTCGTTGTATTATATTAAAAATTAATTTTAAACAATGTCCAAAAATAATTTTCTATATAAAAATAAATCAAGGAATTATTGTAGAACAAAATACAATTGATTTAACTCGTGGAATATAATACATTGGAAATATTTTTGAATATGCAAACGAAACGAATTAGAAAAATACATTATGTAATGTCTTATTTGTTTTCTAACGAATATAATTAAATGTTGGTTGAACGTTTATCGTTTGAAAAAAGTATTTCTACAAAATGATAGGTACAAGAATAAGAATAAGAATAAGAATAAGAATAAGAAAAAGAAGAAGAAGAAAAAGAAGAAGAAGAAGACACAAGTAAAAGTAAAATAATACTAACTGGACACTGTTGGCTTTTATCGGCAGTACCAAGGCATGCCTCGCAAATAAATCTCTTTCTAATTGCTCGTTGAAAAACTTTACTGTGCAAAGCACAACCGACAAAGGTTCCGAGCTGCTAGAGAACCCCTTTCCTCGACGTGCTTTATTTCGTTACGCGTGTCGAGACGAAAACAAGAATACAACAAAAAAAAACACACACACCTAAGTAAGAGAAAGAGAGAGAGAGAGAGAGAGAGAGGAAGTCCACTGATGTGAAACAGAAAAATGTGTTTTAGAAAGAGATAACCACTACTGAAAAATAACTGTCGTTCTAGCAGCTTTGTTTATTGATATTTACAACCAACGATGCTGGGGTATATAGACAAACCTAACTCGAGGCTTCTTCTTTTTATGCGAAACCTTTTTAGTCTCACTTGACCACCCTTTTATCTTCCTTCTTTCTTCCTTTCTATTTCTCTCAAACTCATTTATCTTTAATTTAAATACTTTTTTATTCTTTTGAATTTATTTTTCTACTTTATATTTGTTTTAAATTTAGAATCAATTAAAATCAAATTGTATTTAATTGTAATTAAAGTTCCTTGACCATGAATACAATAATAAATCTATGTGTGTTAATGTATAGAATGCATATAGTTATAATTGAAGTTTCTAGATAACCTATACAATAAAGAATCTATGTGTGTCAATATGTAGAATGTATGTGTGGAATTAAAGTATATTTAATTATAGTTGAAGTACCTAGATCATATATACAATAACAAATCTATGTATGTTAATATGTAGAATGAAATTTTATATAGTTATAAATGAAGTT